TTGACGATACTACAAGGAGATGACGGGCAACACACGGACAGGATCGACTTCGCCACAGAGGGAACGATTTCAGTTACAATTCTATAAATTCTAGCTATTATAGACACATCATGTGACATGTGTTAAGGCGAAAACACACTAGGGCGACAAGTTGACAACGACCGACCGTAACGACAAACGACTTTTCAGAAAATTAGAAACTATTGTTTCGTATGAGCCATTGCGCACTGACGCGACGACGACTGACGACAATCTGGATGAGAAAAATATTTAGAAACGTTTGTATTTTCCAGCGAATTTTGAGTGTATTGTCCATTGAAGCACGATTAGTCTAATTAATTAGCAAATATGCACGCGCGGTATCGCTCATGGGCTAATACACGCGCGGCTATGACCGGTGAAACGAAACGTGACGAATTGTATTTTTATCGTGCAATGTGCAATCACAGGTCGGAGCAATTCCTCTGTTTAGACGCATGTATGCTGATTGAGAATATATATGGTGTTGGGGGTGACGTCTTAGGGGGGGGGGGAGAAGATAGACGGACTGACAGACAGAAAAACAGACTCGCCCTTTATGTAATACTAATTGCGTAAATTGGTTTTGGCCTGAAATGGTCGTCGCGTGCTGATTCAGAGTGCTAACGACAAACACTGAGTGGATGCGGGAAAAATAAGCATTAAAAAGTTCAGCAATTATACCTTTGAGCAGTAGTCGTGTAGCTGATAATTTGGTGTAATAGTTGGACAATAGAGCTGCAAAGAACATGCAAACAACACTGGATGGATGAGCAGTGAATGCCCACAGGCACTTAGACCGTTTCAATAATAAAATGATGGTTAATAAATACAACTTGTCAGTACTACTACTAGCCCTACCAGTACCAGTACCAGTAATAGTCTTAATGTTTGATTTGACCTAATAATAATTAAGTATAATAACTTCACTTCAACACCGTCCAATACACCGCTGCAACACATAGCGCGCACGCCCTTGTGCCTGCACAAATACACAGTGATAGAGAGTGTTACAGAGTATACAGTGATAGAGTATACAGTGATGAGTATACAGTGATGAGTATACAGTGATAGAGAGTCTCACTCTCTATCACTGTGTATTTGTGCATGCACAAGGGCGTACGCGCTATGTGTTGCAGCGGTGTATTGGACGGTGTTGAAGTGAAGTTATTAGGTCAAATCAAACATTAAGACTAGTATTACTGGTACTGGCACGTGTACTGGTAGGGCTAGTAGTAGTACTGACAAGTTGTATTTATTAACCATCATATTATTATTGAAACGGTCCAAGTGCCTGTGTGAATGCCCGCAGTGAATGAGTAGGAGGGTATATAGCGCCACAGCGCGGACATTTATGGGAATAAAAAATAATTGTAATTGTAATTTGAGAAGGGGGGGTTTGGTGGTTTTTTTTGCCTAGAATGTCCGTCGCGTCATGCTGATTCCGAATATATATCGTGTTGGGGGTGACCTCTTACGGGGGGAGAAACGAAAATGGGTAAATCTTCCCCGGGATTGACACTAAGGTCAATCGTGCAGTGCACCGTAACATAAGACAAGACGAAGATTCAAGGTTTAATCAGCATCGGTTGGCTGATTGGTTAGTTGGCTTTAGCATGCACGCGTAGGTATATAAACATTTCATCTATAATTATCACTATTACTTGGTATCTAGCGTATAATTTGAATAAGATAAACGAGTGCAATGTTTGATTAAAAGCGTATAATTTGAATAAGATAAACGAGTGCAATGTTTGTTTAAATAATTATGTGATCGCTCGTTTCCCGCGTCTTGCTTTTGTTGAGCGCTGATTGGTTGGTGGATGTTGGTTGGTGGATTGGTTGGTGGTTGGTACTTGATATCTAGCGTATCATTAGAGAGACGAGTGCAATGTTTGATTAATGAAAAGTGCATGACAAATAAAGTGATGATGGATTTGTTGATACAAAACTCGCATAAGTCAGCCACCCATGTACTCTCCCATGTAACTCTATCATTGCAAACATTGAGGTGTTTCTCGGTGCAATTGATAAACGAGTAAAAGAAAATCGAAAATGGAAAGAAAGGCGCCGTCTCATTCCGAACCGCCGACCTCTTGATATATATATATATATATATATATATATATATATATATATATATATATATATTGTAAGCTCTCGTGCAAACAACTCTTTTGCAAGCAACATGTTTCTGCTTAGCGAGACGAAAAGTACGGTGACTACGGTGGCCCATATGAACAAAACACAAGTACGCAGGTTAGCATGTTGGCAAACATATAAAGTTTGAGACGAAGCAAATAAGTTTCTAGACAAACACATTTACGGACGCCAACTGCAACTTCATTTGAATGCAACACATGTTCGCAAGTACGCAAGTAAACAAGTTGGCAAAGCAACTAATTATCGAAGCAAATACAAGTTTCCTTAACGGAAATAGGTGGCAGCACTAGCGCCTTCCACTACCTCCCCCCACCATCGAGATTTGTGTTGCCCCCCCACCAACAATTTCCGTTTTGCAACTTGCTGTTTGCTTGCGTACTTGTGTTTGCGTACATGCGTACATGCGTGCTTGCGTGCGTGTGTTTTGTTCATATGGGCCACCGTAGAAAAGAATAATTATTATTTGCAAGCGTGCCACGCCGCGGACACGCGTTTCTATACACGCAGGGTGATGAAATTCGATTTTTTTGCGAAACATCTCTTATCTATTGTGGCGAAGTCGATCCTGTCCGTGTGTTGCCCGTCATCTCCTTGTACTATCGTCAACGTTACAGTTATACATTAATTGTGATCATACAGTAATTAATGTTATAGGGGGCGCGAGCAAGAGAGCGTGTGTAGGGTTCCTATATACAGACAGTCTGTATATAGGGACCCTAAGAGTGTGCACGCATGACATTGTGATGTCAGGCGAGCGTGCTCGATCTCTTGACGGCCAACAGTGGAAGAGGGCGGACGTGTCATCAGCACGGTCTTTGTTTTGTGGTGCCATATAGGCCGGATGGCTAGGACGATTGTAATTATTGTGGTGTAAACAAGGAGAGCATCGCCGCACGCGCCGGGAGAGTGAGAGTGGAGTGGGTCTCCGGCGCGCTGAGATGCGAATGTAGAGTGAGAGTAGCGACGTGTTGTGCGCCGGCACCCAGCATAGTCCTGGTAGGCGAGAGTGGATCGCTGCTGTAACTGGCGACCACTCTTCCGTGTAGTAAGTAGTGTGATAATAAAAGCGTTGCTCTGTACGTCTCTTGTTGCTGTTCGTTTCGTCCGCCAGTCCTGGTAGAATCTGGGTGAAAGACGTAACTTTCCGAGGAGAACTTCGGCCACGCCCGAACCTAGTATACGATCACGGATAGAGGGCAAGACGGTGGACAAGAAGAAGGCAAACACTTTACACTGGCGCCGTACAGACCAGGATTTCTGCGTGCAGGATGGCAACATCGAGACGACAGACAAGGAGCACACGTGGAGGCGAGGAAGAGCTTGCCAGTGAAATAGGGACCACATGCTCACATACAGGAGGTAGGGGAGAGCACGATGAATTCCGGGCAGGCCGAGTAGTTCCTAGAGGACAGGCCGAGGAATCAGGGAGATTGAGCCAGCCAGGAGGGGTGAGTCTAAAGAGGAGTGAATTGATGGAAGGGTATGAGCGGAGCAGAGAGCGAGAAGAAGAAGGAGAAGAACAAAGAGCGTGGAGACGCGAGGCAAGACGCCGGACAAATCGCCTGATGGAAATGTTAGAGGCCACTATAGAGAGAGGGAGGGCACCACCGTCGGGAGCCCCCGCAGCACCCGAAGTGCCACCACCGTCGGGAGCCCCCGCAGCACCCGAAGTGCCACCACTGTCGGGAGCCCCCGCAGCACCCGAAGTGCCACCACCGTCGGGAGCCCCCGCAGCACCCGAAGTGCCACCACCGTCGGGAGCCCCCGCAGCAGGGCTAGATCCCGAAGCAAGGAGACAGTGGTCACGAGAGACAAGCACCGAGTCGTTTAAGGAAATGAAGAAGATCGCACGGCTTCTCAGGAAACTGGTGAGTGATCGGGAGCTGTCGAACGCGGCCCGCCAAGCACCGCGGGGACCTGACAGGCAGAGCGGACTGAGAGGAGGAGGTGGCCGGTGTTACGAGTGTGGGGAGCGGGGCCACTTCAGTCGGGACTGCCCGCGCCTGCGACAACAAGGTGTGGGACAACCCTACGTTGCGGCTGGAAGAAACTGGCCGACGTACACAGAAGCAGCCCGAAGACCGGGACCAAGACCCGATGGATTCGCGGGACCTCCCGAGAATGAGAGCAGGGAACCCGAACCAGCGGCCGGACAGGTACAGGGAAATTTGTAAGGGCTCGGCCGGCGCCGGCGGCCGCTGCCCGACAGCGAGTACGGTGACGTGGGGAACGAGGATTTGTAAGGTCAGTGCAGAATCGGCCCTCATGGAGAGTGACATTGAAAGTGGCAGAAAATCCTGTCGAGTTCTTGGTGGACACTGACGCCAGTGGGACCGGCCTGGGTGCGGTGCTGTCTCAGGAGCAGGATGGGGAGGAGCGGGCCATCGCCTACTCGATCAAAACACTCCACCGCCCAGAGAGGGTACTGCGCCACGCATTGGGAACTGTTGGCGGAAGTAGCATGGGAGGTCGACGCAGAAGCCTGCTGTATGAAGATAGGACTGTGCTGTCCCTGCCTGCCGTACGAAGAGAGGACGTGTGTCGTCCCTGCCGTACGAAGAGAGGACGTGTGGCGTTCCTGCTGTACGAAGAGAGGACGTGTGTCGTCCCTGCCGTACGAAGAGAGGACGTGTGTCGTCCCTGCTGTACGAAGAGAGGACGTGTGTCGTCCCTGCCTGCCGTACGAAGAGAGGACGTGTGTCGTCCCTGCCGTACGAAGAGAGGACGTGTGTCGTCCCGGGACAGAGAAGACGAAGAGGAAGATGGAAGGAAGAGAAGTAGCCGTGGAGGTCGACGCAGAAGCCGCGGGTGAGACCGAAGTAGCCGTGGAGGTCGACGCAGAAGCCGCGGGTGAGACCGAAGTAGCCGTGGAGGTCGACGCAGAATCCGCGGGTGAGACCGAAGTAACAGCGGAAGTCGACGTAGACGCTACGGTCGAGATGAAGACTGTCGATGATGAAGACGAGGAGACGGGCATCCTGGCCCGTAACTATCGACGACAGGGATTAGCTACCATACCTGATAGGGAGACGCGGTCGCATCGTTATGTGCGTGCACCGCAGTTCTACGGATTCTAGCTGCTGTCGGATAGGCCGCCTGGCGGGGGCGGGTGCGACACAACCTAGAAGAATGCGGGAGGCATGCTCCGAGAGGGAAGAGGAATCGCACGAGGAGATGACTACGTGGCGAAAATGGGATCTAGACTCGAGACTTGGGCGCAGGAAGTCGACGCCGGCTGCCCAGGTCAACAGGTGATGTAATGTCAACTGCGGGGTGGACACGAATCCCCGGCTATAAGCGGCGAGGACAGACGCAGAGTATCGGAGTAACAACGGCCAGACGACGGCTAAGGCCCTCGAGACACGCATGGAGGGTCGAGTCACGCCGACGTCCTCTCCCAGGTCGGACGCCACGCCTGGAGCTCGGGGAAGGGCACAGCCGTCGGCTGAAGGTGGCGACGTTATTGCCGTCGAACACTCCTGCCTCCTCGATGCGGTCTACGCACAACGCCAATGCCGAGAGATCGCTGCACCCGAACTGACACGCCGCCGAAGTTAACACTAGAGTGATGACGTGAAATCAACGCTAGAGCGATGACACGGAATCAGCGCTAGAGTGATGACGCAAGATCCACACCAAGGCGATGAAGTGAGAGCAACGCGAAGGTGACCACCCGAAATCAACGATAGGGGAGCGCCGACGCGGAGTCATCGATAGAGAGATAACTCGATGTCGACGCTAGCAAGCGGCGCGATAAGTTTTACGCGCGCATATATTACTTCCGAAGCAGAGAGACGCGAGATGTACGGCTAGGTATATAAATACTGCAAGCGCGGTGAGAACATAGGGTGTATGGTTAAGTTCAGCGCGATGACGATAGAGGTTTGTACTCATACTTTGTGTGTATTTTGTGTGTACAACGTTGTGTGTGCTTTGCGGGTACACTTTATGTTTGCTTGAAGCAAAACCACTCGCGGGACTCGCGTCGAGCGTTCGTGAATCGGCAAGCTTTAAAGCCCAGTAGCGAGGAAGTTGTATATATTAGCTCTCGAGGCAGTTACCTCTTGCGCGATAAAAACTAGCTGAGGTTAAACGGGGTGATGGCGGCCTCGTGCCGCTAAAGACGGGTAGCGGGCGCATAAAAACTGCTGGCCGCGGCTTCGCGATCGCGCGTGTGTTTGATCAGGGCGGTCTAACACATACATGAGAGTGTGGCTTGCGAGAGCAGGCAGCAGCGTGTGTGTGCGGGTAGCTAGTAGTCCGCGTATAAACAAGCGGCTGGTTGGCAGCTGTGCAATCGCAGCAAGAGAAAGGCAGCGACTGCAGAACCGGGTGGCATTGTTTACGACGGATTGGGATGCGCGATTAACGCTAACCTTGTGTGTCACGGAGCAGGCTGTGCGATACACACAGTGCACGATAGTGGTGGCGCCGGGCGTCGGGATAAGAGAGATACGTAAAAATGAAGTTACGCGCTTATGCGTTATAGTTAGGTAGGTGCGTGTACACTCAATGCGGTAAGAAGTGTACGCGGGCGCGATTTCCACAGAGAGACAGAGCGCGAAGAGAGCGGCCCAAAATGACGTCATGCTCACGCGGGTTGCGGTAAAAGTGGGAATCTGTGTACATGGTGATTGACTAAACGTGAGATGCGCGAACACTTTGCGTGCCGGTGCGCGGTCATAACTTCGTGCACTGGCGCGAAAGTAGCTCGGGGATCGTGCGTGATGCGTAGGCGCGATCACGAGCAGAATTGCAAAGCCGTATTGTACGTGTTAGTAATAGTACGTAGATACGACCTCGCTGTTACCTACTCGGATTAAGAGGAAGAGTGAGGAAGAGTCGCGAGGATTGATTGCGCGACATCACGCAACAGGTATTCCCCTAGGGAAGGATGGTGAAGTACCTGAATGCGAGGTAACTTCGGGGGAACCCGAAGAATTGGTCGGGGATGCCCGGTTCGAGGGGAGGCGTGATGACGTAACCCAGTGGCAGAGCAAAGAATAAATCGATACGGTCAGCTGATTGGGCGAGGCGTAGGTAGGAGCTATGTGATTGGTTATTAGGAATCTGCTGCCGGGGTAGAGAGGTGTATAAACCCGAAAGCGGGGACGAGTGAGGTACTCTCACCCCATACACCGTGGGGTCTGCACGTGCTACGGAAGACACGTATAAGAAAGAGAAGAGACAGTTGGAAAGATGGCTAAGAAGCAGTATGCAGCCGAGGGGGAGGCGTGTACGCCGAGACACCTCGAACAGGCGAAGCATAGGCTAGCGGTCATGGAGGCTGACGCGCGAGAGGAACGCGGCAGAATCGCCAAGTTAGTGGCGGCCTCTTTGAAACGGCAAGGGGTCCGGGACGCCGGCGAAGGCGCCCACGTGCAAGCTACTACGGACGGCAGCTTTGGGGGCGAAAACACCCTGGAGCGGCGAAATCCTCAGACCGAGGGAGAGAAAAATGGGAAAGCGAAGTTGGCAGTGTCGGTTCTCGGCCACCCTCCACTCGGGGGCGACCGAGCTCAGAACAACCCCACAACTGTGGGGGGGAGCCCTGACGTCGGGGATGCCCGAAGTATTCCCGAGCAAAGTTCCGACGGTGGAGAAGGAGACACTGAAGCCGGCGGCGGAGGATACGGCGGTGAGAGAAGGCGAACCCCAGTGGGATCACGACGATGAAAGGTGTACCCCCACCCGCTCTGAGTTGGTTGCTGGCCATGGCCCGTCGAGCGGCCAATTCCACAGTCGCGTGGTGACCAGTGGGGAAGTGGAGCCTTACGGGTGGGCCTGGTGCGTGGCCTGTGAAGTCCCTACCCGACACCCGGTGGCACACCACGAGGAACTCCACGAGGAGACGGGAGTGAATTACTGTTGCCCGAGGCGAGGATGCCCCTACGAGGCACCCGTGTCAGCGCCGGGGCAACTGAACAGCCACCTGACCGTGATCCATCGGACGAGGAAGAACTGGATGCGAACGCGGTGGGTGAAAGCGAGAGGCCGGGTCACGGCCTACGTCGGAGGCGATGCAGGATATCGCCTCGGCCGGAGCAGCGTCAATCACCGGGGTTACCCCGGTGGGACAGCCACGCGCCAGAGGACGGCCGCCTTCCGCGTGGGCGAAGATAGCGTCGGGAGAAGGACGGGATTCAGCGATTGGACGCCAGCCGAGGGGTTCGAGCGGCGAAAACCCGAACACTCGTCGAAGGAAAGCTGCCAGAAGGCAACGGTAACCAAGCGGCGAGCTGCGACAGGGAAACTGGCTGCTCGCACTCAGCGGCAGCCGACGCCTTCCGCTATACCCGAGGTTGCCGGGGAGGGATCCCCACGGACGACGGGACGAGAAGAAAACGCGAAGACAGCAGCCCCAAGTTCGTGGCCTCCCGCAGCAGCAAGTTCGCGGCCTCCCGCAGCAGCAAGTTCGCGGCCTCCCGCAGCAGCAAGTTCTGCCTCCCGCAGCAGCAAGTTCGCGGCCTCCCGCAGCAGCAAGTTCGCGGCCTCCCGCAGCAGCAAGTTCGCGGCCTCCCGCAGCAGCAAGTTCGCCGCCTCTCGCAGCAGCAAGTTCGCCGCCTCCCGCATCCGCCGAAAAAGACCGGTGCGTGACAGCCGCGGGATCAGAAGGCAGGGCTCGCTGCCCGACACCAAGCTCAGACGGGGAGCCTGGTCCGGAGATGAGTAGTCCCCAGGCAGAGTGCATGGCCTGGGAGGAGGAGGCGAGTCTCGGCGCAGCAGTCATGCCTGCTGTTTGCGAGATTGGAGACTGGCTGACGGATGAGGAGCTGCAGGCAGAAGCCGACAGCATTAGATCTGATTTGGAGGCAGCAGAGACAGAGCGAGCCAGTATAGGCATGCGGACAAGCAGGGAAGCATCCGAGGTCTCGCCGCCACCGCGGTCGCTCGGCGACCTACTAGGCACCAATTTCGGAACCGAGTGCCTGGCCCCGAGGTGGTGTGAGCCGTTGCACCTCCCATGCAGGGAATACCTGCCCGTGATGCCGAACGAGGAGGTATTGCGCGGCCTCGCGCAAGCCGATAGGCTGCTTACACACTGCCCCCAGTTGACGAGGCAGTTTAACGAAGAGGGGCGGCGACGCCTTCAGAGGGAGGCTCTCCATGAGGCAGCCAGGCGCAAATAAGCGCCACTGTAGCCCCGATAGGGCCTGAGTCCGGGCCGCGGCAC